GAATTTAATCATATTTTAACAATTCATTTTATTTTGACGAAGAATTCAAATACAAAAAATGAGTTGACAGATCCCGTGCATACACAAATAACATCCGGTATCTTCGGATAACTCTTGTACAGTTTCAAAGAGTATACGAATTATCATAAATTTCTTGCAATCAAAATGCTGAAATATATCTGCTTGTATCCAAATAGAAAGGAATTGAAAATTTATAATGAAAATATGTTTGTCACTAAAGTAAATTTTCTCTTTGACCTTGAAACGTACTTGAAGATCATTAGACTCGACAATCGTTGGTCGATTGCGCCAAGAAACCTTGATACGAAATATATACGTACAATAATCCCCTGAAAACATAACCTCCTCTGAAAGATTAAGAGGAGTAAAGTAATTTGGGCTAACATCAAGCACTGTAATAACATACTCTCTTAAAATTCCAATGAAATGACTGGTGACTTACCAAAAAGTCAAATTATATTTTGCTCCGATTTGTTTTACCTTGTTCTAATTGCCTACCCTTATCATTTTTTTTCTGAAATTTAGTTAAAACTTCTTAATTTGAGACTGCAATATATGTCTTCAGAGGGTATTTCATACACTATGTAACAACTGTTTTACCCCATTTCAAATTTGGTTTCATGCTGAATCGCTCTTTTCAACTACTGCTAACACACTTTAAATGCAAGGAAAGCATCCCAAACATATATTTTTATATATAAATACATTGTGTTGCAATTGATAACCACTTACTTAACCTCCAGTGAGTTTACATATATACAACAATGTTCGATATATCAAGTTTCAAAAAGTTCTCACACCCCACACTAAGTCATATTTAATGACGATTGTACGATAAATGCTGTACCAAACTTCCCTAAATAGTTTTGTACCTTTGTATATATATGTACTCCAACTGTTCGGAGTACAGTAAAACATTTATATATATATATATATATATATATATATATATATATATATATATATACACATATATATATGTTACTATATGTTACTACCACATGTCCGTTATTCAGTTATGGCCTGATGAGACTCGTACGTGGTACGAGTTGAAAGCGCTAGCCTATTAAAACTGTGTTCAATCTTACTCCTCTTATTTAATTATTACTAAATATATATATATATATATATATATATATATATATATATATATATATATATATCGTATTTACATACATACATACATACATACATACATAAACACACACACAAACACACATACAAACATACCTATGTGTGTTTGTGTTTGTATGTATGTGTGTGCTGGTGTGTATATGTGTGTTTGTGTGCATGTGTGTATGTATGTGTGTGTGTCTATACTGATGAGGGCATAGTATCGGAGATAAATATAATTTGGTTTCTTAGTTAGTCACTATTCTTTTCATTGGAATGTTAAGAAGGTATGCTATAATTTCCATATTTTATTACAGTGCTTGATGTGAGCTGGAATTATTTTAATCCTCTTAAACCCCCAGAGAAGATTATCCTCTGAGGTAATTTTTGTCCGTATATATGTCACAAACTAGTGATAACTTATGTAATTATCTGTTTCGAAAATTATGTACCGCATTATACGTGAGGTACCAAATTTGGTATCAAGGTTGCTTGGCGCAATCCACCAACGATTGCCGAGTTTAATGATCTTAGAATACTCTTCGTATAAGGTCAAAGAGAATATTTGGGTTAGTGACAAAACCCTTTTCATTATAGATTTTCCATCCTTTCAATTTTGATCAAAACAGATATATTTCAGCAATAATTGATTGCAACAAATTTATTATACATTCTGATGCTCTTTGAAACTCAACAATACATGCCCGAAGATACCGGATATTATTTGTGTATGCTTTGAATTATGATTTCGTGCCGTTATCATGATGGATTCTGTTTTTGTTGTTGGGGCAAGGAGTTATTATCCCAGCAAAAGTTGTCAGTAAGTTGTTGTTAGTTCTTCATGACATATGAAAGGAATCCAGACAGTTACATTTATTCATTTATTTCATTAAATATACTTCTGCCTATGAAAGGAAATATTTTATGTTATATTAATGATCTATATGTTAATCATACATTGCTACAAATATTCCATGAGTTAACATGGTTTACTTTTATTTATTATTATTTATTTATCTGTGAGAAGTTCACAGAGATCGAGAATACACAATAATCTAATAGTATATGCAATGTAGGTAAAGAATATCCACGCCCCTATTTTGATATTAATAAAATCATTGTATATAATGTTATGTATTAAGTATTCTCCTTTCCCATGCATGGGAAATCTATGCTGCATTTGCTGACGACTTGTTTTTTTCCTTTGACATTGCACAGGAGATCTGTCACTCATTTGTTGTATTTGAATTCTTCCTCAAAATATAATGTATAAATACGATTGAATTGTCTCGTTTGTTTGAAGGAAACGGTCATGTGCTCCTTATCTACTATTGGATGATAAATCAATTAACCTATTTGTCGAATAGACGTACCTAATGGCATCCATCATTTTTAACCCGAGGATGGATCTTTCAGTCATAAATTTCGATGTGTACAGTTGCTAGAGTATCATTCTAACAATACAGACATGACACAAGCTGCACGTAAAATAATTGATAAAGGTAGTCCTTGGGGGTTCACATACCTACATTTACATCGCCCAGGACATTGTCATTATTTGCTTTACATCTTCCGAGCAACGTTAAAAAATTGAAACTTGAATAATAATAAATTGATATTATGTATATGAACATGTATAAATCAGCTTGCACACAGACTACTGCAGAATGACATGTCATCCATCTGCTAGTTTAGTTTAGTTAAAAAATATTTTATTCACAGAACAAAATGAAAATTGTCTTGGGGACAAGTTCTTGCAACTTAGTAAACCCCTCTCCGAATAAAATATGTACAAATATACAGTTGCAAAATAAATAAATTTGCTTCAGTCAGTAAAAGTCAGACTTTCCACATTTACACATCAATATATTTGTGTAAGTTTGTTACGTTATAATTATTCCATTGTGTAAATTACTACCTACTTTACCAATTGAAATATGATTCCATTAGGTTAAATATGAACAATTATGATGAAAATCGTCAATAGGATATATTACAATTAACTACAAAACACACAGTATTTCTCAAATAAATAAGAAAACTAAGTTCATTCTAGTAATTAATCCTCTTCTGGACAACCATTATGATAGAAATGAAATTCCAATGCGTTTATATATACATATAGTTATACAACAATGTACGATAACGACCTCAATCCTCCCCCACACCAATACTTTAATGACGATTGTACGATAAACCCTGTACTAACCCTGACAAGGATAGGTTCTAGTCATTTAACGCCTTTGACACTAAACTTATAAGGTTATTACAATTTACGTAAAAAGTTATTACATTTTACCGCAAATTGAGATTATGACAATTTACGTAGATTTTTATTACAATTTGCGTATTACAACGGCAAATTTTATTACAATTTACGTTGTTATTACAATTTACGTCAAAATTATTACAATTTGCTGCAAGTGTTACAATTTACCTTCTTATTACAATTTACATCGTAACAAGCCCGATGAAAATGAATAAGACCCATACTGGTCGGAGGAGGCCTCTGGATTCTAAAATTCAAAGATATATGTACATAAACTTAAATATTAACTTCAAATAAAATGTCATATATCACTCATGTTGCGTAAGAAAAGATTTCCATTATTGTGAAACGTGGTAACTGTCTGACCGTATTCATCTCGAATTTTCACCCGCTAATAAGAACTGACTGTATCTTAGAAGAATGAAAACAATTTTCACAAGTAGTTAATATATAATCTTACACTAGGAACCGTGCGAGTAAGCAACATCCAACAATAGTGAACTTCTGTGACAGTATCAACATGTATTATCACAACATTATTCAGTGTCTCGTCAATTATATTTCACGTCACATGACTATATCTCGATTCTCATCATTGTATTTCACTTCACTGTATTTGTAACCATATCGTATAACCATGCGACCCGTAGTCGTCATTTCTCGTATATTGTAACTCATTTGTATTCTCGTATATACACACAAAGTGAACTTGATTTATAGTGGCCTGCGAAATATATGTGCAGCTAGAATCATCTCTGTACTTGCATCACCCTTGCGAGCTACAAGTCAGATAACCCCGAACCTCTTCCATTCAAGAAATGGTGGTACAAGTGTCATCAGATTTGAAGGTGTTTATTCTGTATATGAAGGTTCTCATAAAGGGTAAAAGGCTGTAAGAAATACAAACACAAATGATTACTTAACCTGGTCGCTAGCATATAATATCATGTGTTTAACAAAAGGTGTCCACATTTTAAAATCATTACGGTAATTTGCTATTCAACAAAAATAACAACTTTTAGTCCACAATGCGCTAAAACAGACTTTAAAGACACACCTAAACAACGTAAGAAATATCCATTTACATATAACCTTATGCGACAATAAATTATAAGGGTAACTCAAACACATAAATTGAATGCGTCAGCATATTCAAAAACCGCGCGAAAACTTAGTCACATTATAAGACTTGTCAAAGCGAATTCCCGACATATCATCCTATGACAGCCCAATTAAACTGTACACAAACAATCTTAACCATACTATCATAAATATACTGCCAATACTCACACTGTGGTGTGTCACAAGTGGTCAAAACCTAATTTTCCTGATTGCGAGAGCGAACGGCGTGGTTTGTCTCGGCTACCTTTACGCAACGACAAATTTGACTCGTACACAGGAGAGTTCCAACAGCCAGGGAGCATACATTGCGGGAAACTGTTACGCTGTAACAGCACACTCCCCGCCTGATATCTCACCGAGATATCACCTCAAGTTCAGCAACTAAATCTAATAAATCAAATCTACATCTAAAATAACTAATATAACACATGAAAAAGTACTTTGGCACTTGAGAGTTCATCTTGAACTGGACAGTTTATGAAGTATCAGAGTTTGGAGATAGCAGTGTTACCAACTCTGTAACTGGACGAATGTACCTCGTAATCTTTCCTCCTCTCATTATTCGAAGTTCAACCTTTCGTACTTTCCCATCACTGCTTGGGAAGGCTCTCTCGACAACTGCCATTGGACAATCATTTCTAGCACTGTTCTTCTCATTCAGTAGAACAAGATCACCCTGTAGCACATTACGCTGGTCCTGAAACCACTTCCGTCTTGGCTGTAGAGTGTGGAGATATTCCTGTCTCCAACGATTCCAGAACGTATTTGCGAGGGATTGAACTCTCTGCCATTGCGATCGAAGCAAGTCCTTGGAATCACAAAGTTCCATTGGTTCCACCTCATGATTAGTCTTCTGAGTCAAGAGAATGGCAGGGGTAAGAATTTCTGGCGACTGAGGATCCGAGGAAATTGGGACGATAGGTCGCGCATTCACAATCGCAGATACTTCGGCCATGAATGTCGATAGAACTTCATGAGTTAAATGCCTATGGCGGGTTTCTGCCAACATAGAGTCCAGAATTCTTCGTGTGACTCCTATCATCCTTTCCCAGACGCCGCCCATGTGTGAGGATTGTGGTGGATTGAAAATCCATTTGGTCCTTTCATCATCTAGGAAACGCTTGATAGAATTGTCCTCAACATTCACAACATTTATCTTGAGGGCATCTGTTGCTCCAACAAAGTTTGTTCCGCGATCCGACCTCAGTTCCTTCACTGGTCCCCTTATTGAAATGAATCTTCTGAGAGCGTTGATGAATGAAGAAGAAGATAATTCTTCAACAACTTCGATATGGATAGCCCTTGTGGTAAGACATGTGAATAAAACAGCCCACCGCTTGTTATTAGCCTGACCCCCTCTAGTGCGACGTGTAACAACAAACCATGGTCCAAAGGTGTCTAATCCAACGTAAGTGAAGGGAGGACTTGGCATTAGACGGTCACTAGGGAGATCAGCCATCTTCTGGTATTGTTGTCTTCCACGGAGCTTCCGACATGAAACACATTTGTATATGAGCGAGGAGATCACCCTCTTAGCTCCAGTGATCCATAAACCAGCCGACCTAACTGCTCCTTCTGTGAACGTACGACCCTGATGTTTGACCCTTGAGTGATGGTGATGCACTAGGAGCCTCGCAAGGTGAGAGTCACCAGGAATAATGGTCGGGTTTTTCAGGCGAGCATCAAAATCTGATTTGTTTAGGCGTCCGCCAACACACAGAATACCATGTTCATCCAGCTTTGGATCCAAGCTCAATATAGTGCTATTCCTAGGGATGGGCGAATTTGCCAGCAGACAGTCAATCTCTGCTCCAAAGGTTCTGTACTGTACCGTCTTCATTAGAAAGCGTTCAGTCTCTTTCAAGGTGTCCGAATTGATTCCCAATGGATGTTTGTTTTGGATTTTGCGAGCCATGCACTTGAGTAGAGTGAAAGCGCGTACAAGACTTTCCCATGAAGAAAATTTTTCAAGGTAGCGTGTGTCCAAAGATCCACTAGTGTCGCATACCTTTTGTCTTCATGGACGAAGGTGCAGGTCTCAGTTCCTTGTCGTTTTCCTCATCAGTAAGGATGAAGGTATGAGCACAGGAATCTTGGGAAATTGGCGTTGGACCTGAGAGCCAAATTGATGAATTCAACTGCGAAGCATGGATGGATCTGGTACCAATATCAGCCGGGTTCTTATCCGAATGGACATAATGCCATTGTTCTGGTTGAGAATATTTCCTGATACGGTCAATCCTGTTAGATACATACACATAAAACCTTCTTGTTTGATTGTAGATGTAGCCTAGGACTATCTTGCTGTCTGTGTAATACTGAACAACATCAAGAGGAAGTCCGAGATGTTCACAAACCAGATCCGCAATTTCAACCGCAAGTACTGCAGCACAAAGTTCCAACCTTGGTATGGTGTGCCCATGCATAGGAGCAACCTTTGCCTTGCCAAGAATGAAGCCTGTCCTTTGGTCTTTATCTTTATCAACAGTTCTCAAGTAAGCCACCGCAGCTACGGCCTTCTCTGATGCGTCTGAGAAGACATGTATCTCTTTTGTTATGACACCCTAAAATGAGACAGGCACATACGTGCGTGGTATCTTCAGTTCCTCAAGCAATGTTAACGAGTCCTTCCAATCTTCCCATTCTCGTTCACTGGCAGAAGGTAATGGTTGGTCCCAGTCTGAATTTCCAGATACCAGATCCCGAAAGAGAATTTTTCCACGAATGGTCACAGGAGCAGCAAATCCCATAGGGTCGAACAGACTGTTGATTGTTGATAGAATTCCTCGCTTGGTGTAAGGTTTTGGGTCTGCAGACACTTTGAAAGTAAAGGAGTCAGATTGCAAGTCCCATTCCTAGGCTACGCTGCACAGGAAGCAAGTCTGACCCTAGGTCCAGGTCTTTTAGGTCTTTCGCCAAGTCGTCTGATGGGAATGTTTTCATAACCTCTGGATCATTTGATGCTACCTTGTGTAGTCTCAGATTTCCTCCTGACAGCAATGCTTGCTGTGTTCTCTTTATTAGGTCAATTGCTTGCTCGGTAGTTTGTAGACATGTTAGCCCATCATCAACATAGAAGTCTCTTTCGACGAAGAGCTGCACATCCTTTCCGTATGTTTCTACAACAGACTTGGCAGATCTCCTCAGTCCGTAAGTGGCAACAGCTGGTGAAGGGCTGTTTCCAAAGACATGAACTTTCATCCTGTATTCCACCAACTCTTGGTTTATGTCATTATCCTTATACCATAGAAATCGTATGAAATTCCTGTGTTCCTCTTTAACGAGGAAACAATAGAACATTTGCTGAATATCTGCCATTACAGCTGTTGACTCTCTTCGAAAGCGTAGAAGCACACCTACAAGACTGTTTGCTAAGTCTGGTCCTTTCAGCAGCACATCATTAAGTGATGTCCCCTCATGATTTGCTGAAGAGTCGAACACTGCTCTTAACTGGTCCGGCTTCTTCGGGTGGTAAACCCCAAACAAAGGTAAATACCAACGTTCCTCATCTTCCGTCAATGGTGGAGCCAACTCTGCATGATCATTGTCAAGAATTCTCTGCATGAATTCCAGGAATTGTTGTCTTTTGATGGTGTCTCGTTTCAGGCAGCGATCTAGAGTCTTGGCCCTGTTCAAAGCTTGGCTCCTATTGTTTGGGAGCCGCCTTCTGCCATTTCGGAAAGGAAGTGGGGCAATCCAGTTACCTTCTGATGTTTTGACCATTTCATTATCCATGATTTCAAGGAACTCTCTGTCCTCCACAGATAATCCTAATTTGTCATCCTCTTGAGTGGTAACAAATAGCTTGTCCTCATTTTGTCCATTTCTTTCACGTGCTGTGAAGATAACCTTGTTTTTCTCATTTCCTGATGACCAGCCTTCCTTTACTTGAAAGTGATTGTCACAAGGCTTAAATATGGATGGGCGTCCATCTGACAGAATGTAAGTCTTATGTACCGTGACTTGCTTGGGCTGATGAACTTTGCCAAGGCAAGTTTCGCCTACAATCACCCACCCAAGAGAGAGTTTTTGTCCATAGGGAGTCTTGTTTGGGCCAATCCGTTGGTCCAAAACATGGTGGGCCTCTATTAGGTCCCTACCAATCAGAAGGAGAATTTGTGCGTCATTGTCCAGAGGGGGTATGCAATTAGCAATGTCCTTCAGGTGATTATAGTGCATTGCAACCTCAGGTACAGGTATCTCTTCTCGGTTATCCGGAATCTGATTACATTCTATCAGTGTGGGAAGCTGTAACCTGGAATGTCCATCAAATGACTCTACGATGTAGCCTTTGGCCCTCCGGCCAGAAGTATCTTTGCGTCCAGCACAAGATGATAGTGTGTATGGGATTACTTCACCATCTGCCTCCATGTTCGTAAAGAATTCAGACTTCACTAAAGATGCATTGCTCTGATCATCAAACATAGCGTACATTCTTGTAGCCATATCAGGTCTTCCCTCTGGATAAACTTTCACTAGAACAGTTTTTGAACAGGACTTTCCAGCAAATCCATCTCCACATATCTGAGTGCACTTTGAAGCAATAGGAAATTTGCTTGTGTCTGAAGGTGAATCTTTCCTCTCCCCGCCATCATTCACTCGGGGAGAAGGTGTTCCTGTTTCTGAGTTCTGTTGTTCCCAATCAACAACATGCAGTGCTGTAGCATGTCTACTGCTTCCACAAAATGCACATTTAACAAATTCCCTGGAGGCTTTGGCTAGGTGTGACGATGTCAGGCAGCACCTGTAACAAATACCAAAGCGCTTGATTAGTGCCTTGCGGTCTTCAATTGTCTTGAGCTTGAATGCCTTACATTGATTTAAAGAGTGATCAGTCTTGTGAACAGGGCACAGTTTTGACCAGTCCTGGTTTCCTCTAGTCTCCTGGGTGACCTCTGTCTTCCGATTTGCTACGACCAGAGGTGGTTTAGATCTGTCTTTCCTAGGGGAAGCTGTGTAAGTTTCATGTGCAAAACTTGGATCATTTTTCTCCTTGCTTATGTCTCTTACGAAATCCACAAAAATTGAAAATGGGGGGAACGACACTTTGTTAGTTCTTTTGTATCTGGTGGCATGAGATGTCCATCTCTCCTGGAGGCCGTAAGGCAGTTTGTTGACAATTGGTATCACCCCAGCTGAGGAATCAAAATAAGACAGAAGTGCCTTGTATTCATCCTGACCCTTGATGGATTCAACTTCCGAGAGGAGGTCTGAAAGCTCGTATAACAATTCACTATTCTTGTAAGTCAACCTTGGGAAAGCAGCCAGTTTATTCTTCAGCGCAGCCTCAACCATCTCTGGGCATCCATATCTTTCATCCAGCCTTGCCCATATTCTTTCAAGGCCTCTTGAAGGGTTTTGCACATTAGCAGCTCTCAAACTGTTGGCGTATTTCGAGGATGCAGGGCCTAACCACTTCACCAATAAGTCGAACTCTTCAACGTCTGTAGCCTGCAGTTCAGCAATGATCCTGAGAAAGCTTAACTTCCAAATGGCATATGATTCAGGCCGATCGTTAAAACTTGTGAGCCTTGTAAGCAGTAACTCTTTCTTCAGCAGGAAGCGTGACAGTTCAGTAGCAACAAACATGTTGTTGGCCTCATCCCTATGAATGTTCTCAATTCCATCTCCTTGATGTGCCACTGAGTACACTAAATCTGCCTCTGCACATGGAATATTAGTGTCCGGCAATACATTAACTGGTCCCTGTTGAGCCAGTGGGGGAGAAGGTGAAGTCAGACGTCTGTTGGCTTCTTGTTGAAAGTAGTGCCGAGGCACAGATATGTTACTCGTTTGGTTTTGTGAGTGCCTCGCTACGTAATCCCTTGTGCGATCCTTGGCACCTTCAACTGGTAATGAGAAATGACTGCTTGATCCCTGAGAATCCTCCTCTAACTGCAAGGCCCTTACTTCTGCTTCAGCCCCAGCCATTTCTTTCTGTTCTTTGAGAAGTTTGAGGTCAGCATCCATGTCTGCCTTCTTACGAGAGGCATGAGCAGCAGCAAGTTGTTGCTGCTCCTCCAGAAGTGCACGCTGCTTAAGAATCTCTGCTTCCTTGACAGCATATTCTGCCCTAGCACGTGCTGCCTCTGCCTTAGCACGCTTCCTAGCAAGCGACGAACTGGTGTTGCTTAACCCAGATTTGCTGGTGCGCATAATTGACTTTGATTGATAGGATGATGAATCAATGAGTTCCCGGACGTGATGATCTAAAAGTTTGCCCGTGATTTCAATTTCACTTTTCAGTACCTGGTAGTTCTGCAGATGTAGATCTAGGTCATTGTTGCTATCAAGAGTGTTTGTACGACGTAAGAAGTCTATATATCCCGATGACAGTTCACAGTAATGTGAATGCACTTGAGCCAAGCTCCGTTCAGTAAGTCGTAATGACTTGAGGTCGCCTTGGTATTGACTACAAGCTTTAAGAATTCCCTTAAGTTCCTGTTGGGCTTTAGCTAGTTTAGCACAGTGTGCATCCTTGGTCTCCTTATACATTCCACTTCCTTTTTCTGTTAGAGTTCTTAATCTGTATGAAGTTCCAGTAAGTTCCTCTTTTTTAATAGTTTCCATCTGCTTCAAACTCATAAACTCCTCAGACCTTTCTGCTTCTGTTTTGTCTATATCAGACATGATGAATTTTCTCACAGTAGTTATTACTGTATGTTGTAATAAGCTTCTAACTCCTGTTGTTGCCTGAAGAGGGTTCCTGTCCTATTGCACAGTGTAGATATACACAAATCCCTGTGGTGGTTGCATTTTCCTGTTAACCAGCTTGCAGCAGTCTTATACTAGTCCTTTTACTGTACTTGCATCACCCTTGCGAGCTACAAGTCAGATAACCCCGAACCTCTTCCATTCAAGAAATGATGGTACAAGTGTCATCAGATTTGAAGGTGTTTATTCTGTATATGAAGG